TCGAAGGGTTTTCCTGTACATACTCTCCCCGCTCTCTCTCTCTCTCTCTCTCTCTCTCTCTCTCTCTCTCTCTCTCTCTCTCTCTCTCTCTCTCTCTCTCTCTTATCTGCCCTCCCATTTCCTTTCTGTTATGATAACAACCAAAAGCCGGCCTAACCATGGTGGCAGGATAGTTACTTAGCTGATTACCCTATTCTATAGAATGTAAGAAAGTGCTGTGATCTGAAATCAAATGGACATCTGAAAGGAAATCAGTGCCACAATCCTCCCCAACCTCTAAAAGTCTCCCAGAAATATGCATCTGTACCTTCACCCACCTGTCTTTCTATCCATTTGGCATCTACCTTTCCTTAAATACTACATTGAAGATGCGATTTTTTTTGTTTCCCTGAGATTAAATGTCACCATTCTGGGAGAAGTGTCATTTTATACTTAAATTTTGATGTTAGTACACACAGCTTTGGTTACATTTGGGATTATGTAGGTTTTTCTTTTGAGCAACAGCTCTACTGTGGTTAAGGAGAACATGTTTCCAGTTTATAACCCATCTGGTGATAGGCTATTTCCTGTAGTGCCAGCTTCATAGCAAATGCCAGGCTGAAATGTGTATGGGAAACTCTGGCCACAGTGAGGCCATTTTGTGCCAAGTCTTCACAGGACACCAAAGTATGGTCCAGCAAGCAAAAGGACAGTCTTAGGTTCAGCAAGCTAGTGACCTTCCAATATTCCCCCATGTACCCAATCTGCAAACATTCTGTTACCTCCAGAGTAGGTCAGGGACTGCACAGGGCTCAGGACCAACACAGTGGAGAGGCTTCTCACAACAAAGTCAAGGCATCAATAGGCCATGGTGAGTGCTGAGCAAGTGTCTCAGTCCTGAGGCAGGATAATATCTAAAGAAAAGTCTATTTTGACTCACAGTCCTGGCGTCGGGAAACCCAAGAATAGTTGGCTGTATCTGGTGAGGACTTCATGCTGCGTTAATCATGGCAGAAAGTAGAAAGATAAGAGGATGAGTGTAGAAGACAGCAAAGTGCTGGATGCCTAACATGGCCACTCATTCCCATGAGAAAGGCATTAACTCAGGAAAACTTCACACCCATGACCCAGGAGCACCTCCCACCAAGCCACACCTCCCAACACCTCCTAAACATGAGTTGGAGGAGACAAGCCCTACTCCAATCTTGCCAAAGGCAAGGCTGAACTGTCTGCCACAGTCCAGGCATTGCTGCTGGCAGGATGAGGGGAGAAAGGAGTTTCAGAAAGCACAATCCATGCTTGGATAATTACTAACCGATATAAATAATCATATTTTTATAACTAGATGGATTTCCCAAAAATGAATAATCAGAATCATTGCTAATTTTTTTTTCTGGGAGGCTTATTCTACAAATTTTGCTATGCTCATATTTTTGCTGTCAGAATATGCAATTTTTATTTATGGGGACCAGGTGTGGAGATGCAGGCTGGCAATACCAGCTATCTCTGAAGCAACAGAGTAAAAGTGAGACTGATTCAGGAAGATAATTGAAGGAATAATCCCCCACAGAGAAGACATTGAAAAGGCAAGCAAGCTGGGCATTGGTGACTCCCACTTGTAATTCTAGCTACTTGGGAGGCTGAGGTCAGGAGGATCTCAGTTCCTGGTCAACTTGGAGCAAAAAGAAGCTGTTCATTGGCTGGGAATATGGCTTCGTGGTAGAGTGCGTGCCTAACAAGCATGAGGCCATGGGTTCAATTCCTTGGTACCACAAAAATAAAAAAAATAGTTAAAATATGATTTTTTTAAAAGCTGTGTATGGTGACATGCCCCTGTCATCCCAGCCATGACAGAAAGTGTAAAACAGGTGGATCTCAATGCAGGCATGGACCAGGCAAAAAGTGAGGCCCTATCTCAAATTAACCACTACTTGAAAGAGCTGGTAGTATAGCTCAGTGGTAGAGATCCTGCCTAGCAAGTACAAAGTCCCGAATTCAAACCCATGTACAGATAAATAAATGGCAAGCAACTGAACAGCAATGAGGACTAGACTCCATTAACTCAGGCTGCTGTCATGACTTATTTGTGGAGGGATGTGGTGTGACCTGTGACATGTTCTGATTTATTTAGAATGGCTCTAGTAAATTTCATGAGTACCAAGAACTATATAAATGATAAAGCATGTTTAAATGAAAATATTTAAATGAAACTACATAAATAGTTATTTAATACATGACCAATGGCTTGAACTACTCTTTGGCAAATATTCACACACACACACACACACACACACACACATATGGGCAGTGTACCTTTCCTGCCTTGGTGGTGGGTGTGGCTGTGCTCCATAGACTACTAGTAGATGTGGAATAAGCAGAGATTTGAAATCTGCCTAAGCAATTGAGCTTACCCTTCCATGTGCCTGCATTTTGCCATAAATAGAACATGCTGCAGGTAGTTGTCAGTCCAAAGAACACAGAGAACACATTAATGTAGACCCTAACCCAACCACCATGAGGAGTTAGGCCAGCTAACATCAGCCAGCCACAGATGTTACTCAGCCCACATCAGTGTTGAACATTGATTTCTTATGAAGTATTATTGTGGCAAATAGATTATTGATATGATAACCAAAGATGGAAGGTTTTCTTAGAGAATTCTGTTTCAAACTAAATGGCTATTGTGGTTTGGATCTTAAATGTTCCCCCAACAAACAACCCATATACTAAGGGCTTGATACACGCCAGTGGTGTGGTAGAACCCTTAGGAGGGTTAGTTCATTGGGGGTGTGTCCTTGAAGGGATATGGTTACTCCTAGCTCTTCCCATTGCTCTGCTTCCTGGCTATCATGAGCTAACCTGGCTTCTATGGTCACGTGATGGCCTGGTTCTGCCACAGGCCCAGAGGCCTGTGACTAAACCAAGTGACCATAGACTGAAGTCTCTGAAACAAATACTTCTTCATTGTATGTTGATTTTTCTCAAGTATTTTGCCACAGCCATGGAAAGCTAACCCCTACTATAACCAAAACTGATTAGAAGTTAGACTACCATTAGTAAACCTTTGCTTACAAGTTAGAGGTTTTACAACATATATTACATCCAGCTGCTTATAGTGTGAAGGGAGCCTTTGTTAGATAGCACAGCCTTCCGCACCCCAGCATGCTGTGCTGCTCACCTTCCTCCAGCCTGCTGGGAAAAGGCCCATCTTACAGTGCCGTTGTTAACTGCTAGCATGGAGGAGACTGGAAAAACACCAGACTCTGGGCATGTGGGGCCTGTGCACTTCAATTTGCTCAACTGAAAAGGAATACTGTTTTGGCATGCAGATTTTGAAAGGACAGAAGACCTTAAACCTTTGCCAGTTTTAGGTTCAAGCTTTGCCTCTCCTGGCAGGGTGATTCTTTGTTGTGCCAGGCAGCCAAGATTCATGTTTTGCAGCAGGTGGGAGCCTCAATAATTTAAGCAAAGTGCTGGCTCTTCCAGCCAAAAAAAATAGTATTCACAGAGGCATACTGTCTTACATCATCTGGATAGGGAACAAACAAGCCATAAAATCTGAGCCTCCGGTGAAGGCAAGCAGGAAAGATGCCACCCCTCTATGCTCAATGAACTCTTGGCATTCCATAGCAGAGAATCTGGAGGAGCCATAGTTGCCCTCAGAGAAGCCATCCGAATGTAATCCTAGATTGCTTTTCCTAACAAACAAGACAAACCTCTTTTCTTTTCTTTTTTTCTTAATATGGTGTGGGTACAGGGGCTTGAACTCAGGGTTTAGCTTTTCTGCTCAAAGTTGCACTTCTAGCTTTTTGCTGCTTAATTAGTTATAAGAATCTCATGGACTTTTATGCCCTGGGGTTGGCTTCAAAACAAGATTTTTAGATCTCAGCCTCCTGAGTAGTAAGATCACAGGTGTGAGCCACCAGCATCTGCCCATCTCACCTATTCGTATTGAAATCAAATTTTGCATCATTCACTTAGGCAAACTGAATGAATGCACTTGTCATTCATTTTGCCTCGTAGAATTACTTTTCATACCCTTTTATAAACCCATAAAAAGTAGAGATGCAGTGGATAAACATTCTGTGGAAACCCAGAAAGTGTTTCTTTGTGAAAAGGTAAAATGGTTAATTCAATGTCACAAACAGCACAATGTATATACTTCCTGCATCTTATGGTGTGATTGATCTTAAAACTGATGAGCTAGTATTTGTAATTCCATGATAATTTTGAAAAATGTAAATAAACAATATAGATTGTTGCTATCAAAATGCTCTTGCATAAGGGAAATCGTTTCAATATTATTTTATATTTTCTAATGAAAATAACACATCCTCGAATCCCTCTGGCTAGCTCTTGACATGTGTGTGTGTGCGTGTATGTGTGTGTGAGAGGGAGAGAGAGAGAGAGAGTCCTAGGGCTTGAACTCGGGGCCTTGTGCTTTCACTTGATACATTTTATGATACATTAAATTCTAAAACTCAGAATTTGAATCATGGTAAGAATTACCTGTTGAAAAGCAAAATTCTATATCCTTTAGTTAAAAAAAATAGAAATTTTTTTCTAGTCAACCCAACTCAGCATTTAAATATTAAAATATCAGTAGCATCTTGTGCCTGAATATTTTTTAACCATTGTCTCTTCATCTCTTAAGAAGAACTTGTATGTATTGCAAACTTTGGTGATTTTGTTTCCTTAAGAAGTATAACAAATAGAGAACAAAAACAAGATAAAAGGTTTTATTCTAGACTGTTTCCTTCGGTATAATTTCAACTTTCAAATTATAGGAACATAAATGAATGTCCTACTTCTGCATCAGAAGTACTTGACTACTTTGTGGGATGTTTTGTGCCGATTCTTTACTAAATTATCTTGGTCGAGGTTGCTAGGTAACACCGCTGGCTTCCAGCAGCTGAAAAATGAAAAGGTTACAGGGAGCAATTCCACATTATTAGCATTTGACTAATAAGTTGGTTTAAAAAAAAAAACCGTATATCTTAGTATTTTGCCTCCTTTTCCAGGGAATGTCATTGTCTACGGGAACACACTCGATACTTACACCACTGTGGAAGCACTCTTACACATTGGCGTGAGGGGCTCCTCCATCCATCTTGTACATCCCCCACCGAAATCAGTCACCACTTGCCTTAACAACTGCACAGTGGAAGAAGCCGTGGCGGAAGCACTCCAGGAGGCTGGCGCCATCACTCACAAGGACGCGCTGCTGGCTCAGTGGGAGACGGACCCACTCTCAGACTTCATCCACACTGTCTACTTCACCACCTACACCAAACCTTTCAGCCTTCCGTGTTCTGTAAGTGCATCTGGGGAGAGCAGTCCCCTTCCAGGGACTGGAAAGATTGAAATATTGTGAGCAGTGCTTTCAAAGATACAGATTTTCTTCTGACTGTTCAGGTTACCTCTTGCTCAATAACAAGCTACTACAAACTTAGTGGCATAAAACAATAGATTATTAATAATAATTAATAACAATTATCATATAACAAGTAAAATGGAATAAACATGTAATGATAATAATAGTAATTATTATTATTATTTCTCCTGGTCTGGTGGTTTGACTGGTCCCAACGGGGCGTTTCTCAATGAATAGCTTTTATGTAGTTGAAGTCAGACCAAAGATAGGGCTGGAATCATCTAAAAGGCATGTTCACTAACTCGTCTGGCTATTTCTGCAGAATCAGCTTCAAGTATCATTTTCATCAAAACACTTACAAATGGTCCCTTAGTGTGACTGGTCCTCTTCAGAGCACGATGTCTTGGTTCTAAGAATAAGCAAAAGGAAAGAAAGAGAAGTGGAGGGATGCACCTCTGTTTATGATCTGGGCTCATAATAATGTGGCATCACGTCTGCCTCATTCTTTGCTACAGTTAAGTCAGCACATCCATCACATATTAAAGAGGGAGGGAATCAGACCTCCCTGACATCTGGGACCACCCCAAAGAGGGATAAAATGATCAGGTTCTGCAAAGGGGCCCCTCCGTATTATTAATTTTCCACAAGTACCAACTGCTGGCCAAAGAAGGATGAGAAATTGTAGAGTGATGGAGGTCAGGATATGTTGTCTGCAGAGGTCATTCCTTGTGATGCAAAGCAGGACAAGGGACAGTGAGAGAAGCTATCTGACAGCAGACATCAACATCTAGCCCAGGCTGCTATGGCAAGAAAAGGTGTACCTAGAAGTTGTATTCCTTGTAAATAAATGAACTTGAATGTATTTGCAAGATGCTTTTGCCACAATTCTGATTTTAATCTAAGTAGGGAAAACAGGTAAAAAGGGAATCCTAGAGAACCTGTGTTCAGTGGTGATTTGGGAAGGTTTCCTTAGGCCTCTACTTATTTTTAAAAAATGAAGATGGGGGCGGGGGAGGGGGTGTTCACCTCCTGAGGTTCCTGGGCTAAACTTGGCAGTCTTCCAGGATTCCTATTATGGGGAGAATCTTTGGATAGACATTTTGATCCTTCCCATCTTTAGTAAATAAGTGTCATGATACACAAGCAGAAATACAACACTTTCAAAATAACATGACTTCTGTTTTTTGATAACTATATTTCTAATACAGAACCTAAGGCCCAACTTGGTGTTATTTAAGTATTTGTGGAATGGATAAATAAATGAGTGCCGTAAAGAACAGCCTACAAGATGACCATGGATTTCAGGCATTGTGCCCAGGACAGGGCAAGTTCTCAGTAAATGGTAGTACTCTGAAAATGCTTGACACTCCCACGAAGAGGGATGCTACCAGAACTAAGATCTGGGGTCCAGGGGTGGCAGAAATAAGATGGAACCCAGAGAAATAACAGTCAGGGTTTTGTTGGTTTATTTGTTTGCTTCTCAGACTACGTACTGGAGGTACATGAGAGATGCAACTCTGACCAAAAGCAAGGCAGGCAACAGCTCCCTGTTAAGGGAGCTTATCTATAAGTTCCCTTATCATAGATAAGGGAACTTATCTATGAAAAAAATCACAACAAATCCTAATAAAAGATCTGAGCGGATCTGGGTTCACATGCAGCCTGAGTTAAAAACAGTACGCTACCAGGTACTGGTGGCTCATGCCTGTAATCCTACCTACTCTGGAGGCTGAGATCTGAGGATCACAGTTTGAAGCCATCCTGAGCAGAAATGTCTATGAGAGTCTCCAATTAATTAGCCCCAAACTGGAAGTGGAGCAGTGGCTCAAAGTAGTAGAGCACTAGCCTTGAGCACAAAAGACAGGGACAGTGCCCAAGCCCTGAGTTCAAGTCCCATAACTAACAAAAACAGCAACAATAGCAATAAAAAACACAACAGAGGGAAAGGATAGTAGGAGAAAAACAAAGGAGGGGGTAACAATGTTGGACAAGAATTGTACTTATTACCTTCCTCAGAGAACTGTAACCCCCCTGTACAGCATCTTTACAAAAAAATTAAATTAAACAACAGTCCTACTCACACAGATCCGCCAGGGTCAGCTCCTGAGAACCTCCCTGACCCTGAGAATCAAAGCTGACCAGTGAGGCTGCAGGAAGATCTATCTGATGTAGACCAATAAGGACTAGACATACTTCGCAACTTTCAGTCCTTCATTTACATGAAGGACCCTGAAAAGAAACTCAGGGTGGGGTTTCAACCTGAAGTTTATTTCATGAGCAAGTTTTGGGTAACAGATTCAATTGCTTTACTGGATATTAGGCTATTTGGATTTTATACTTATATTAATTTTGTTCAAGACATTTATCCATTTATTTTAAGTTGGTCAAAATGCTAGCATTAATTTGTTCATATATCATTATTTTATTATCTACTGTACTTACATGTCTTGGGGCAGTTGTAATAACCTCATTTTTTCTGGTTTTGTTGAATTGCATTTAGTTGTTCTGTCTGTCTCTCTTCATCTCAGTCTAAATAGAGGTTTGTCAATTTTATTGATTTTTTTTTCAAAGAAACCAACTTTACTTCCAGGTAAAGTTGGCTCCTTTTCTCTATAATCAGTCACTTTTCTCTTCCATTGATTTCTGCTCTTAATAATTATTTTCTTCATGCTGCTTGCTTTGAATTTACCTTGTTTCTTCTCTTTCCTAGTTTTTAAGGTAGAGCTGTAGGGCATTGATTTATGTATTCATTTAAACTATAAGCTTTCTTTGTTTTAGCTGCCTTCTCATAAATTTTAATATATTTAATTTTTATTGTCATTTAGATAAAAACATTTCCTCCTCTCCTTTGTGGTTCTTCTTCAACCCTTAAATCATGTGTTGTTTAATTTCCAGATATTTGAGTTTTCTACATGAATTTATGTTCATTGACTTCTAACTTAATGCTATTGAGATCAGAGAATATATTCTTTATAACTATTCATACCTTAAGATTTATTATGATTTATTGTATATCCAAGCAAGTATGTTTGGATCTAAAAGAGTGTGTTCTAAGCCAGGTGCTGGTGGCTCATCTATTCAGGGGACTGAAATCTGAGAATCATGTATCTGCTTTCTTTGGAATTTTTTTTTTAATTTTTTTTGGCTGGTCATGGGCTCTGAACTTATGGCCTAGGCACTGTCCCTCAGCTCTTTTGATCAAGGCTAAGCCCTCTACTACTTTGAGCCACAGCACCACTTCCTTCTTTTGGAATTTTTGGAGTATCTTTGGTATTCTATTTCAAATGCCTTTTAAACTTTATTCTTTAGTGATTGTGTCATGGATTGCAATATACTTCATCAGTCTTTACCATTCAGTAATCTCGATATTACATATTTCACATAAAATGTAAAAGACCTATAATACAGGCCCTTCTTCCAGTATCATGTGCATTTAGTTACACTCACCATATATGTTACATCTACACACATTGAAAAATAGCCATGGCAATGTTGTAGGTTTTGTTTTAAACAGACACGCTATATACATATACATTTATACACATAAATGTACACATAATAAATATGTGCGTTATAGAGCCTTTTTTCATTTCTTGCTCTTTGTTTTCAAAATACAAATCTCCCATCAGAGTGTACAACTTCCTATTGCACTGTGGGTATTGTAAATCTGTTAACAAATTCTCTAGTTTTCCTCTATCTGAATATATTTTATTGGCTCTTGAATGATATTCTCACTGTATATTGAATCTCAGGCTTATAGGGCATTTTTTCCTGAATATGTTTTTCATCATGCTCTGACATCACACATTTTGATTAAAAAAAAACCCTGTAGCTATTGAAGCATTGTTCCCTTGTATTTAGTATATTTACTACTCATGTTTTCAAGATATGCTGTTTATTATTTTTTTGGCCATTTGATACTATGTAGATTCCTTGTTTATTATGTTTTAAATTTTTATGTTGTAGTTCAGTTGAGCTTCTTGAACCTATAAATTTATGACTCTCACTAAATTTAATAAAAATTCTTGGCCATTTTTTCTTACCCCATTCTTCTTTCCTTTTCTTTGGGTCTTCAATTCTGTTAGTTTTTAATCATTTTCTTTGGGGCTTTAGGCTCTGTTTGCTTGAATACTTTTCTCTTTGTTCTTCAAACTGGACAACTTCTGTTGATATAACTTCAGAGTTCACTGACTTTTTCTCTTCTATTAGAACATAAAATGCCTAGAACTTACCTTCTTGTAAAAACTCCCCAAATAGGCAAAATTAGCCCTATGCTAATCATTGCTCCAAGATTTTACTGTCCTATACAACCTACCTGCTGTTAAACACTAACCAGAATCTTCAAGTAGCTGTTTTCCTATTTTGGTCAGAGTTTGTAGTTGTTATTGGTGGGAAGTTTAGTCTCAGGGGATTATGCTACCATACTAGAAACACAATTCTCTTGGAATTAATGTTTTATGTATATATCAAGGCCTTACTACTCTTGCCCTGTATCAGTGCCATGTGTGTGCTAAGCGTCTATCCAAGCTATACTCCACTTAACACTGGTTCTCAAAGAGTATGTCTTAGGCTGGGAAGGTGGCTCAGTGGTAGAGTGCTTGCCTTGCATGCCTGAGGCTCTGGTTTCGATTCCTCAGCACCACATAAGCAGAAAAAGTCAGAAGTGGAATTGTGGCTCAAGTGGTAGAGCACTAGCTTTGAGCTGAAGAGGTGAGGGACAGCGCCCAGGCCCAGAGTCCAAGCCCCACGACTGTCCCCCCCCCCAAAAAAAAGAGTATGTCTTCCTTTTTATTGGTATCCATCTCTCCAGTTAAATTGTCAGTTTCATGATTTATTTCTTGAAGATATTCTTGGAACCCTACACCATGCCTGGCAAAAAAGTGCTTGTCTTCTGAATTTGAATGAATGAAGTTCATCAAATCAATTTGTGATTTCCCTTTATAATTTTCAGTCTGTTACACTATGAATCCCTATTATGAAACCCTAAGACATTAAAAAAAAGTGTGAATGCCTATACTACAACATTATAAGTAAATACTACTCTAAGACTAATCACCTTTAAAGCTAACAATCTATCAAGTATCTCTGTTGAATGTGCCATTTAGCAAAATTAAAAGTAGGTATAGATAGAGAAAGAAAACTGATAAGTAGAACTTTTGTGAGGATGCTAAAAGGAACTCTTGAAATTTGTCAAGGATTCAAGAGGTTGATGACACAGGGGCTTATACATAATGTTAATCTAAGTCAAATAGCATTCTATATTTTTGTGTAGGTCAAAATGCATTTTGCTGTAAATGGAGAAGCAGAAGTGGGAGAATAGGCAAGTGTGTGTAGGGAGAGAAAAAGACAGAGACTCAGAAGATACAGTTCCTGTAGTTGCTGGATATGCTACTGCCTTCTATACCAGGACTAAAAGAGTAAGACAGGAACAGACTTTGCAGCTAGGGAGGCCTATGGCTCATCCTCTCTAGAGTATCCTTCAGGGACAAGATTGCTGGGTTTAAAAAAAATCGAGAGATGAAGCAATCTGAAGATTTAAGACTTGAGTGAGACAACCTCGACAAGAAACCTGGAAAGACTTATATATGAGACATGAGGGAAAAGAAAATAGAAGGAAGCTAAGCTCAGGCTGTTAGAAATGTAATAGATTGGAAGTGAGGGTTAGGGCCTCAGATATAAGCTTCTTACAGGGAAAGAGTGTTTATTCCTGTGGCAGATATTCCACTGGTCAACATCCTTCTCTTCACTGTATGTTTAAATGGAGTGGTTACAAAAGTATGAGACTAAGTGATCTTAGGTTGATTTTTGTTGGTTGTGGGGCTTGAACTCAGGGCCGGGTGCTGTCCCTGAGATTTTTTGCTCAAGGCTAGCGCTCTCCCAATTGAGCCACAGATCGGCTTGTGGTGGTTGAGTGGCTAATGGGTAATAAGAGTCTCACAGAGACTTTTCTGCCTGGGCCAATTTCGAACCATGATGCTCAGACCTCCACCTCCTGAGTAGCTGGGATTACAGATGGGAACCACCGTCTGGCTTGTTTTTTTATACCAAAAATATTCATTCTTTCTCTCTCTTTTTCACTTCCTCCTGCTCTTTCCATCTCTCCCTCCCTCATTCTTTCTCTCACACACACAGACACACACACTCCACAAACACATATTATGACAAACTTTTTTTTTCCTTTTTTTTTTGCCAGTCCTGTGTCCTGAACTCTGGGCCTGGGCACTGTCCCTCAGCTCTTCAGCTCAAGGCTTGTGCTCTACCACTTGAGCCACAATGCCACTTCTGACTTTTTCTGTTTATGTGGTGCTGAGGAATTGAACCCAGGGCCTCAGGCATGCAAGGCAAGCACTCTACCACTGAGCCACCTTCCTAGCTCCTCAAACTTTTGATAGATTATTTTATGATCCAAATATAAAATACCCCAGAATGTGAAATCACGACTAATAACTGAGTTATGATGTGATCATTCACATTGTAGATATTCTTCAGTTTCTATGAGAAGAACGTGGATTATGACACATTTAAAGCCTTCAACGATGCATGTCTCGTGTATGATGGCCGGCTAGTGATTGATACCAACTTCCACACCAATGACATAGCCATTAGAGCTGCTGGATCCCTCACCAAATTCTCTAACAGATATTATGCAAATGACTGGACTCACAGCAACTTCAGTTCCAAAGAAATTGGATTCCAGCTGGCAGCAGCTATGCTCAATCTTTTTGACCCAACTCTTGAACCTGTGACTGAGCCACCAGCTGATCTAGACCGACTCATCCCCATGTACAAGGGCGCCAAGATCCAAGGTGTGTGAACAGCCCTCCTTCCTTCCTTTGATGAAGCCACAGATTAGCAGCTCCCAGTGTTTGTCTTAGGCTTGGTTAAGAACCTTCTACCTAACAATGTTCAAGAGGAAGTGTATTCATTACCTCACTCATGTAACTGTAACCCTCTGTATAGTATCTTTACAATAAAAAAAAAAACCTTCTACCTCTCAGTGGGTTGCCATGGAGATAAAGGAGGGGTCCATCTCATTTCTGAAGTATTTATTACAAACCTGGTACTATTACTTTATAGCACTTTGCATTTAAAACATTTATTATAAAGCACCTCCAAACTGATAATACCCATTTTACAAACTAGGAAATGATCAGTAACTTGCCTAGAGCTGGTGAGGGTGATCTGCCATAACATCTTCTCCAAAATTTCCATTCTTCCCATAAGTTTGGACAACAGAAAACCGTTCCAGACAGCTCTGATCTTAGCCTGCTCTCTCAGAGAAGCTCAACCACTATGCCTCTAAAAGAATCCACTTTCACTCCCTAAGATTTGTTGATTTCTAAGGAGATGATTTCAGTATTTGTTCATGTCTTAATGTGGTGGTGAGAGACACGTTTAAGATGGTATCTTTGGGATGGGTGCAGTGGCTTACACCTGTATCTTAGCTACTCAGGAAGCAGAAATTGGAAGGCTGGTGATAGGTCTAAGACAGGCAGAGGGAAGTGGGAGAAAATAGAGAGGGGATAACACTGTTCAAAAAGAAATGTACTCATTACCTTACTGTAACTGTAACCCCTCTGTACATCACCTTTACAAAAACAAAAGCCCAGAGAAAAATAAGCTGGGTGTAACCCTCTCATGCCAACTATGTGGGAATAAATAGGAAGATCATGGTCCGGGCCAGTCCTAGACATAAATATGAGACTGTATCTGAAAAATTATCAAAGCAAAACGGGCCAGGGTGTGGTTCTAGTGGAAGAGAGCCTAGTTAGCAAGCAGCCTCATTAGGGCTGCCAAAATAAAAGAAAAAAAGAAAACATTTATAAATGTGTATGATCACTTCTAAGAAGTTCATGAACCTAAAACTGTACAGACTCCTGTACACGTCTGTAGATTCTAATCCGGTAGGTATGCATTAATCTAAAGAGAACAGCCCCACCTTCCAGCCCTTGTCTGCCACTACCTAACAAGGTCACCTCAAGGAGATCCTTTTCTGTTTCACGCTGTGGCTAACACCTGAGTAAGGGTGGAGACCTCAGGCAAGCAAGAAAGGAGTGACGTTAGATGTCTGAGCTTGACCAGGCTCAAGTTTTCCAAAGCACTAAACAAAGAAGTTTCCTTATAAAGCAGGAGTTAAAAAAAATATTTTGGCTATATTTGGAGAAACAATATGGAATGGCAAAACTATTGCAGTCCTTAAAGGCTTTTGAAGGTCTTGATGCAATTGGCAGGTACAGGCTAGTGTGTGTGGAGCTGTGGGCTTAGGGAAGTACATCTTAGAGCACTGGTGACTGTGTGACAGAACATTGGTGGTGATGTTACATTACAGTGATTTGCAAACAAAGTTCAACCACTTCAGGTTATCCCTTGCTCTTGCTGTACTGTGGTGAGAAAGTCTGGGACATGTACACATTGTAGGCATTTCTGTCCTGTAGTGAAAATATGAACTCTTTTCCCTACCTCATTAACAATTTATCTCACTGTACTTAATGTGGGTATAATTTGGGGAGCGGAAGGGAAAAAACAAATCGTTTAAATAGGGATGCAGGTGGACCCACTGCAACAATGAGATGTACAAGATGCTATGTTGAAAACGAACTTTACAAGTTAGGCACGGGGTGTGGGGGAGAGGGTGGGGAATGTAGTCGTGGAGATGGGAGGGAAGGGATAGTAGGGGGGAAACAAAGGAGGAGGCTACAATGCTTGATAAGAAATGTACTCATTACCTTGCTCATGTAATTGTAATCCCTCTGTACAGTATTTTCACAATAAAAAACTTACTTAAAAAAAAAAGGCAGGTAGCAGGGACCCAGAAAAAAACCTGAGTTGTAATCTATTCTGGAATAAGAGGGAGATCTATTGGGGCTCCAGCCCCAGAAGAAGTAGGGTGGCGAGGACCAAGGTGAATCTTTGTGTTTCAGAAATGACCATCTATTCTCAAGTATTCTCAAGACCTTAAAAAAAATAACAATTTTTCTCACATGCACAAAACTTGTTCTTTCCTCTAGGAGGTATTCTTCCTGGATCTTACTATTATCTGCATATTGCCAAACCTGCCATTCCAACTCCTTTGGAGGTACTGATGGCGCAGCCTGATTTTGTAAGTATTGTTTCTGAATTTCATTTTACTCTGTTTTAAGGGAAAGCGAAGTTCTTTACTCAAAGCCTTCCACGTAATATATTGGTTCTCACATCAAAATAAACCCATTGTGCTGGTCAGCACATTATTAGGAGGGACCTGATAATCTTTGGTTCTTATTCCCTTGTGTGGTCTCCCCCAGCAATGAGGTAATGATGACCTATGTAGCCCGTAGAAAATTGTGGAACTGAGTGTGTGGTTCAAAGGTAAGTTATGAGTGATGCTGTAGCTGCCAACTTTCCTGCTTAGGCATTACCTGTTGCCATGTTACTTTCCTAGACTAAGATTAGTCAGAGCATGCTAACAAGGGCCTCCTCTCCACATGTGACCTGGGTGCCCTAACCTCAGAGCAGTATTAGAGCACTCAGACTGTTCCGGACAGCTCATGATTCCAAGTGCATGTGTCCTCCTTGGCAAGTGGGCAGCTTGTATGCCTTGTATGGCCCAGCCTTGTAACCCACACAGTATCACTCCTATACTTCTTTTGGAACAGTCATATCCCATAAGGAAGGAGGAAGTGAAAGAGGGAGAGAGGGAGAAAGAAAAGAAAGAAATGGGAGAAGGGAGGGAAGGAGAGGGAAGAAGAAGGAAATAGAGAGGAAGGAGGGGAGGAAGAGACCATATCTCAGTGGGGAGAGTATCAAGGTCATATTGCAAAAGAATATCAGTAATCAGGATTCACCTTTGGAAAATACAATCTGCCACTACTGAGTTTGGGCATTAGATAAACAGGTGAAGACCAGCATTCCAAAGTTGAACATTTTGGTCACTTTTGATAAATAACTTGAGGTGAACACATATAAGAGCTAGAAAGCATCTCAGAGTGAACCAGATTCTTCAAAGGCATTGCATGATTTCCTACATAAAGTGCCATCTATTTATGAATTACTTGCCCTCTCTGAACGAAGTCAGAGGAAGAGCCAGAGGGGGCTTTAGATAATAAGAATTATAATGAGAGTGTAACTTGAATAAATTCTTGGGCTGGTGCTATAACAGTATTTGAACAGGACCCCTGACTTTAATTAACCATTTGCCAGGTGGGCCTCCTTTTTAATTAGTACAGAAGATCTATTTTATCATCCAAGAATAAAAATGTAGGATGGCTCCATGGCAATCTTTGGGAGTTAAAATTAATTTAAGTAAAATGGTTGCCAAAGTGGTTCAGCAGTCACCTAAATATAGCCAACTGATCAAGAGTGGAACCCATTTAACAGTATTTCAATGAGAAATTGAACATATTCTTACAATAAAGATAGTAAAGATTCATATTATTAGACTTTTATGGCCCTCAGTACCTGGAATATTTACGTAAGAAAAAAGGCTTGAGTAATTCATGAGATCTTTGAGTAATGACCTGACTAAAGGAAGAAAGGGGAACCCAAGTCTTTTACATAATAAACTAATTTACAGATTCCAGTCCACATGCTTTGTTGGCTTATGCACCATGAAATAAGTAAGTTTGTCACAACAAATTCTGCCTTGGATACTATTAAATTTAAAATTATGTTTTTGTCATGAGAGCTGAGAACTTGATTTCTCAAACAGCAAGTCTGATTAATCCTGTGTCTTCTGTTTGGCATGAATTCCTGAGTCATTTCCCAAATTTGGTCAAAATCATACAAAAACTCAGAATAATTGTATTGTTAGGGAGAAGAATAGAAAAAAATCACACCAGACAAGTTTACTCCATTAATACCTTAAATTCAAGATCCACGTCTCTCAAGGATTTACTTACATACAGGAGGACATATTCCTACCCGGTTAGAAAGTGTATAAAATAGTCATAATTACCCAGAATACCTCATGAGGTTGCAAGGCTGGGAGGTGCTTTAAATCATTATTTAGTGGAACGATTTCCAGTGATGAAAGGCAGAGAGTGTTCTGGATTCCACTGGTTTTCCTGAGCTACCAGTAACTATGAATAAGAATGACCAGCACTGCATAGATAATTTGTGTCTCAGACATCCCTCTATAGATGAGTTCTCTTTAACGCTAATGCATATTATTTTGATGCATTCCGGAAATAGCAATACAAATACAGTCCCAGATCTCATTAAAATGGACACAATTTGCCTTCCATGGTTAAGATCAGCAAAACCTCCTCTCTGTAGTGGTTCCTTGCTGGATTGATTCTTCAATCCCTTATAGCTATGGATCACTATACACTTAGGTTTATGCTGATACAACAAATAGGGGAAACCTGGAGATTTTATTTCAATCTAAAAAGTAAGACCAAAAACAAAAAACAACAGATCCTTAGAAACAAATCACAAGAAATAGTGCTGGGGATACCACCCTCATGGAACAGGTCTACGTGGACGCTTAATGCACACGATCCCCCATTTTGTGGCATTTAGCCTTGGCTACATACATGGAACCCAAATCAGCCTTCCAAAACACACACACACACACACACACACACACACACACACACACACACACACACACACACACACACACACACTGTGAAGCTAAAAGTGGAATATTCAGTAAAATCCTTGGCAAAACCAAACTTTTTTATTACCCACATGGTTGGAGTGCAAGCAGGGCCTCTTTCTTGTCTGGCTTCCCTTTTCTTAATTGCACACCATAAAGAAAATTAAGGGAGAGGAAGAAAAAGATGATGAGCAAGAGGAGGAATGAAGTAGGGAAGGAAGAAGAGAAAGCCAAAATCATATAGGTTTGCTTTTTTTACCCTGCAGTGAGCCTTGGCAAAACCTGGCATCTGACACTATGCCAGAGCTGTTGGGGGACTGTTCTAGACCCCTACACCTGCACTACTACAATAAAGAATCCTCAACACACACTCCTTGAAACTCAGTCACCTACAGTTTTTCATCTTTTTCTCCAAGTCATCCCTTAATGCCACAAGGACTCTTACTCATCAAGTTGGGAAACTAAAACTGCTGGCACCAAACTCAGTTGCCTAGAAAGCTTTGTATTTCATCTGAGATATACATGTGGACATCATATTCCTCATTGCCATCTATATTCCTGTGTGTTTTCCAACTCTGAAATGGTATTGAACAATCTGGACCATGCCAGTAAAGTTGATAATGGGGGTTATTTGGTGATGTCATGTGCCCCTGTCCTGGTTGGTGGGACATGACTTAGTCAAGACTTGAGGAAACACACTGGAATGAAAAAGTGGGAGGGACATCCGGACTAGAAAAATTTACGTGGCAGGAACATTTGAGTCAGAGAAGCATACCAATACCCTTCGGCCAGAGGCTCAGCTCTTGTTTTTTCCAACCTCTCTGGACCAGCCCCACCTCCCCAACAACAAACTTGTGTTCCACCTTTCCTTCCTCCCTGCTTCCCCTCTGCCTTTCTTCTTCCTTGCTCATTCTGGTTTCTATTTGGGTTCTTTTCCATTTGCTCATTTAGAAAGTCTGATCGCCCATGGACTCCATTGCCAAATTACTCGTGCTGATCCGAAACTTTGGCAAAGTAGCAGGGTATAAAATTAACCCTCAAAAATCAATGGTTTTTCTGTATGTCAATAATGAGAAGAGTGTGGCTGAAATCAGGAAAGCAATTCCTTTTGTAATAGCCCCACAAAAATAAAATACCTAGGAGTTAACTAAAGAAGTGAAGGCCTGGCTTACTTCACTTAGTATAATTTTTTCCAAGTCTTTCCATTTCCTAACAAATGGGGCAATGTCATTCTTTCTGATGTAAGCGAGGCCCAAAGAAACATAGGTCTCATGGTTTCTCTTATTTGCAATAACTAGAATATGTCTGAGACAAGCATAAACGGTCAGATAAGTTGATGTTAGGTGAAATGAACCCCAACATAAAGACCCAAATGGTTTTTCTTTCTTGCTATTGTTTCTAATATATTTATAATATGATTTCTTTGTTGCTTTGTATATCCCTCACCCACGGTATAACCCTTGTTTTCATTGTATTTGATGTTGGTATACTTGGTGGAGGGGAAGAGAAAAAACAAATTGTTTAAATAGGGATACAGGTGGACCCATTGCAACTATGAAATGTACAAAACGTTATGTCAAAAAATGAACTTTACCTTTACAAGTTTGGCGGGGGGTGGGGGAGTGTTGGGAAGGGATGTGAAGGGGAAACAAAGGAGGAGGCAACAATGCTTGATAAGAAATGTACTCATTACCTTGCTCACGTAATTGTAACCCCTCTGTACGGTATTGTTACAATAATAAAAAAAAAGAAGTGAAGGACCTTTACTATGAAAACTTGAAAAACCTGAAAAAGGAAGTGAAAAAAACCTCCCATGTTCCTGGATCAGGAGGATCAACAAGATGAAAATGGCAATACTGCCAAAAGCTATCTACAAATTCAGTGTGATACCTATCCTTATCCCAACCTCATTCTTCAGTGAAATAGAAGAAGCAACCCAAAAGACCGAAAAGTAAAAACAATCCTTAGCAGAAAGAACAGTGCTAGAGGAATATCAATACCAAATTTCAAACTCGACTACAAAGCCAGAGTAATAAAAAACAGCTTGGTACTGGCACAAGAACAGACTTGAGAACCAGTGGAATAGAACTGAAGACCCAGAAATGAACCCACAGACCTATAGCCATCTAATTTTCAATAAGGGAGCTAAAAACATAGAATGGAAGAAAGACAGCCTCTTCAGTAAATGGTGCTGGCAAAATTGGTTAAGCACTACAGGTGCAAACTAGAGCTAGATCCTTATATATCACTCTGCACTAGAATCAACTCCAAATGGATCAAAGACCTCAGAGTCAAAGCAGACATCCTGGAAACATTACAGGAAGGAATAGGAGAAACTCTAGGGCTCCTTGGCACAGGCCGAAATTTTCTTAATGAAGACCCAGAAACACAACAAATCAAAGAAAGGTTGGGCAAATGGGATTGCATGAACTTGCAGAGCTTCTGCATGGCAAAGGACATAGGTAGCAAGATCAATAGAAAGCCCATAGATTGGGAGAAGATCTTCACTAGCAGTACAATGGTCA